TTGCAACAAATACCCTATACTCAAAAGGAACTATTTCCTCTTCCAAAAAACTCATGCAATTTTTCCTCTTTGGGCCAAATTTGGCTCAAATTTCCCTATGTCTGCCAAAATCTTACCACCTTCCAATGGCACTTCCTCTTGGGAATCTTCCCTGATCCACTCCCACAGAGGAAATAATTCCTTTTTCTTCTCCTCTCCCTTTCCACAATGTTAATATAGTACTTAGTTAGTACTTGTGTACCGTCTCCTCTCACTGAACTATGAATTGCAGGAAGTCAAGGGATACACACCTGAAATAGTGTACAGCAAAGAGTAGATACTCAAGAAATACTGATTTAAATAACTATGTGGGACTGGAAAAATCCAAAAATTAAAGTATACAATTTTGCTCAACAAGATAAACTTAAAGAAGTGACCAGAATGAAAAAAACACATAAAACTAAAATAATTAAAACAAAAATGCTTTACACATGCTTATATTTGCATAGAAAACTTTAGAAGAATTTGTAAGAAACCTAAGAGTAGTTGTGTCAGAAAAGGGAGGCTGTGTAATCTTTTCTGCTATCTAAATTTCTTTGCCAAGTCAGGTATTTAAAAACACTTAAGGGGGACCTGGTAACTCAGTCAGTTAAGCGTCCAACTCTTGATTTCAGCTCATCATGATCTCACAGTTCATGAGTTCAAGCCCCGCATCAAGCTCTGCTTGATAGAGCCTGCTTGAAATTCTCTCTCTCCCCTCTCTCTATGCCCCTACCCCACTTGCTCTCTCAAAATAAATAAACTTAAAAAAAATTTTTTAAGTACTTAAAAATGATCATTACAAAGACTATGAAATGGCATGGAAAATGCCATGTCAACATTAGATATTTTTAAAAAGGAAATCACAGAATGACAAATAAAAAAATATATCTGTAGCTATACAAGGACTAAAAGAAAATGTGAAAAAAGGGGAAAAAGGGGAAACATGTAAAGAACTGGCTTAAATACATTCTGATTACTTTTACTTGTAATTTTTCTGGGTTAATTTTCTCTTAACATTTGTCAAATATGTGGTATGAATCACAGACACTAGACTATTGTTTATAGATAAGGGGAAAAAAAAGACTACACTAAGGGGGGAAAAATGCCACAGGTGGCTTGAGCTTGCTTTGTAGTTGATTTAATTACTCGTTATTTTTTAAATAAACTTCATCAAAGTTTTATTTAAACCCTTTTATCAGTGATATTTTTGCTACCACTTTCCTGTAGTAAAAAGTGGTAAGGGAGCAATATCGAGCACTAGAAACTTCACTGATTTTAAGTATGGAAATTCGTTTTGTAAATAAATATAGCCTCTGCACTCAAAATATTAAAGCTCTTTTTTTTTTTTGTTTAAGTGTTTTGAGATAGTCCCTAAAGGCTGATCCCTTCTCAGGTTTTAGGTCTCAGCTCAAATATCACCTACTCAGAGAAAACCTTTCCTGATCCATCTATCCAAAGTAGCCCCCTCTCTCTATATATATCACAAACTGAAATAATGTTTATTCTTTGTTTACAGATTTATTTTCTATTATTTTCCACTTGAATGCAAGCTTCAAGAAGGCTGGGAACTTGTCTGCCTTCTATTGCTGTATTTCCACAGGAATTCAGTAATATTTATTGAGTAAATGGGGACTTTAGGTAGCAAAAAATGGAGAAAATTATAAAGCTGATCTACTGTTTACTTTTAACAAACATTTCCATTTTTCTAGGGCCTGTTCCAAATTTAAAGCTCTAGAAGAAAAACGGGTGGACCCACCTTTAGGAAGCTTATCAAGATGCTCACATTAGGCAGTAGTGAGAAGTGCCATTTTGGAAGGATAAATCAAATGCTACAGAAATATAAGAGGCTGGGTTAAAATAAGAAGTCACTATGGTGATAGTAGCCCCATTTAAGCCAAAACTTGAAGGCTAGCTAGAGTTTGGATAGGTGAAGAACAGGCATAAGGTGAGCATTCTAGACAGGAATTGGCATACGGATGTAGAGGCAGAAGATTTCAATAAGAGTGACTAGTTGAACATCAAGATCACACAAGGGAAAGGTAGATAACAAGGTAGGTTACTGTCAGGTTGTAAGTCTTCAAAAGCAGTCTAAGCATCTGAAATTATCTCTACACAACTGGAGGGGTCTCTCTCTGCAGGTCTTCAAACAGTTGAGCATGGTCTCAGCACAGCACTGTTACAGGAAAATTATTCTGGCAGCGACTGGCCAGATGGACTGGAGTGAGAAAGAATAGGTGCTTGGAGGCTTAGTTAGGAGGTTACTTCAACAAAGTGGGCATCAGGCTCTGAACTAAGGTTTAAACATTACAGAAAGTCATAGACACATGACATGTTAACTCTGCAGTCAGAAAGATCTAGGTGTGGGGAAAAAAAAAGAAGAAAGATCTGGGTGTGGAATACTAAGTCTATATTTAATACCTCTATCAGTTTTCTAAAAAATAGCTTTATTAAGATATAATTTGCATAGCATATAATTAACCCAAAGCGTACAATTAAATAAATGGTTTTCAGTATATTCAGAGTTGTGTATCTATCATAATAATCAACTTAGAATATTTTCACTCCTCCAAAAGGAAACCATCTCCTTAGCCATTATCCCTGAATCTCCCCACCCCCTACACCTTCCAACATACCCAACTCCTCATCTACTTTTTGTCCCTATATATTGTCAATTCTGGATATTTAATGTAAATGGACTCACACAGTGGTTATTTGTGAATGGCTTATTTCATGTGGCACAACTTTTTCAAGGTTCATCAATACTGTAGCATGTATCAGTACTTCATTCCTTTTTATTGCCTGATATTCCATTTTTGGGATATACCACTTGTTATTTACCTATTCATCAATCTGTGGATATTTGGGTTGTTTGATTTTTTGGCTATTATGATGAATACAGCTATGATAACAGATGTATCAGTTTTAATGTCTATGAAATAAAGATAATAATTCTTATCAAGTTTTAAAAGATGTAAAGAATAATGCCTGGCACAGAATAAATGTTCAAGAAATATTAGTTTCCTTGTCCCTACATTTTAGGTAAACTGAAGATTAAGTAATTTATCTTTCTACCACGACTCAACTGTACTATCTTCAACCTAGCAAAACCTTTCCCCAGTCAAATGTATGCTTCTCCTGCCTCTTAGGATATTCCTTCATCATTTCTTACAGACTCTGTCATCTTTTGCTAACAGAACTCACAGTCCCCCTTCTTTCTCTCTTTCGACTCCCTAAATGCTGAATGAACGTCATCTTGTGTTTTGCTCATGTTTCTATTTATACAAAGATTCAAAGAACTATTTTTTAACCTCAACATTGCTTTCCTTCCCTTCACTCTTCTGTCTTATCTTACACTCCATCTGACATCCTGGTGCTGCTTCAAGTTAATAGCGCTAGATGGAAATTTTCTTATCTCTAAAATCTCCCTCTTGCCCAGTTTCCATGCTATCAAAACTGATGTTACTATCATTAGCCTTTTTTTTCCTCATAAATACTTATGTTAAGGACCATGTACATCTTGCAAACTATTTACACAATGCAATTCACTACCCATTTTCAAAGAAATGTACTTTAAGTACGACTGTGATTTAAAAATATTACCAAATCTTACAGGGCACCTGGGTGGCTCAGTTAAGTGTCCAACTTTGGCTCACGTCCCGATTTCAGGGTTCATGGGTTCCATCCTTGCGTGGGGCTCTGTGCTGACAGCTCAGAGCCTAGAGCCTACTTGGGGTTCTGTGTCTCTCTCTCTCTCTGCCCCTCCCCTGCTTGCACTTTTTCTCTCTTTCAAAAATAAACATATATATGTAACAAAAATCTTACCAAATCTTAAAACTCACCCATGCAAACCTTAAAAAACAGAATGCCAACCTTATAATTATCAAATTTTTAAAAAGAAGTCTCATAACCTTTTCCCCCCTTTTATTTATACACTCGTTCTAGTACGTTCAGCACTATGACAGTTACTGATGTGGAGTTCTAATCTTGCACGAGGAACTGTATCTCCCAAAATTTTGTTGACTCAGTCACTTCTTCCTTTGCTCAACAAGCCGGAGTCAGAGATACTAATTAGATGTCACTCCCTTTCCACTACTAGACCATAATTACTTTCAACCCAGCTGCCAAACAATGATGGTTCTTCCGGTTTGGTGGTTTCATTCCTTCTCTAACCTAGCTGACCTAAGTTTGGAGCGATTTTTATGAAAGTCGTAAGTGACATGGCAGAAGAGCAGAATATCAACCAACAAGCAGTAGTACAGCCCTAACAGCAGTGAGTGGCCCTCAGAGTATAGACAGAGATGTGAAGGTGCAGCTTTTGCCCTGAGATTTAATCATCCAAATGGCTCCTTCTCATGAACTCTTTAGAAAAGTGAGCTCCTCTAGAAACACAGGAAGAAGGATCTGTTCAACAGTCAGCGTTTGTTTTTGTTTTGTTTTTTTCTTCTATTAGAAGACATTGAAAAGTGTAGTTCCAGAACCCTGCTTGGTACTAAAATGAAGAAACATAGCAAGCAGTCTTTGGAAACAAGTGTGAGGAGAAGGGGAGGAGCGGGTTACAGAAACACAGTGCCCAGACCGTACTGGGTGCAGAGACATCACCGACTGGTGGGGCTCCCGGGAGGGAACCAAGGAGCGTCGAGAGCAACGCCGAGGATAGTCACAAGGGCCGAGGGAGAAAAATCCGGGCTGGGGGCCGCTCACCCAGGGCGGGGCCTCGGGGCCAGAGCCGGGCCGAGGCGACGGGGTGCCAGACGACAGCTAGAAGGCCACACACTCCCGCACCCTGCCCATCCCTGAGGCTAGCAGGAAATAGGGTTAGGAAGGCGAGCACGAAAAAGTCCTAACAGGGACCTGGGTCCCAAAGCAACAAGTGCCCGCGGCGGCTTCCCAAGAGACTGTTGGTCTGGGGCAGGATAGCAAGGCACGACGCGGCGGCCTCCTGGCCTTCCCTCTCTCAGCCCCTGCCCCACCGCACTCACTCTGCCACACCACGCTCTTCAGCCCCCGCTCCGTCACCGGCGGCGCCATCTTCCCAACACTGCGGAGGAGCAGCCGCCGCCTCCCGCTGGCACCCTACTTTAGGAGAAAGAAGCTCGGAGTGGCCCCGCCCCCACTCACGGACCGCGCCCTCCGGTAACGTCACGCGCGACCGCCAGGGGATTCCCGCCCACGCCTGGACGGAGGCTGCGCAGTGCGGGTGGAATCTGTGTGGGCAGTCGTGCGCCCCCTAGCGGGACTCTCTGTCAGCCGAAGTTCAAGGACCCGTGACGTCAAAAAGCGAAGTCGTGCCTGTGTGTTACGAGTTAACCTGATATAAAAAATTCCGAATGCACGCAGATGGTATTTGAAAAAGGAATGGGTCATTCTTTCGCTTTGCAAAAGAACTCTTCACCTGGCGAAGCCGTTCATAATAGACTCCACTCAGCAGCCCCCTCAACTACTGAATAGAAAATTTACCCATTAAAGTCTATTGTATTCATTTTTCAAGGACATAGTAATTGTGTAGAACTCTGAGGTTCCCTCCAGTGTGCCCCGACCTATGCAGGACTTTCAGGAAACTCAAAGAAGTGAGAGACCCACTTCTGAAGAATTATAAATCTCATTGGAGAACTCAATTCCTGGTATGCTGAAGATAGTCAAAAGTTGGTTGAAAAAGCGAATGCCTTCATGATGATAATATACGTAAATGAACCAATAAAACAGTAATTATTTACTCAACAAGCATAAATTCATGTGCAAAATTGTGTGAGAGAGGACATCAATGCTTTAGGATTTAAAAGAAGGGGTTATTGTTAAAAAGGGATTCACAAAAGAGGTGATTTGAGCTTAGACTTAACAAGTTTAAGCAGTTATTTCCTGAGATGGTGCTTTTGAGGTGAAATCACAGTAATCAATCATGAATGAAATCAGTTTAGTTGCTGAGAGCCCCATCTGTCACTAACCATCATTTACACTGTCAGAAAGTAGACTTTCCCATAGATTTGCAAAGAATCAATGGTCTTAATTCAAGTTGGTCACATAGGAAAGTGGAAATATACTCTTAATGATAATGGCTAATATTTACTGAGTGCTTACTACATACAAGGTATTATGGTAAGTGGATTATAACCCTTAAAGATAAAGAAACTGATAGTGAAATAACTTCCCAAGGATGCTCAGCTTGTGGTATAGTGGGAACTAGGATAAGGCATAAGCTACACAGAAAGCAATAAAGTAGTCTGTGGAACAAGCTGCAGTACTTGCTCTTTAGGAGAGAAAGAGAATGATGAATAAAAGCAGCCATAAAATAGGTTCAAGCACAACATGTGGCATGAATGGTTTTTCCATTCATGGCTTATATGGGAATGGAAGCTGGAGCTCTGGCCTCTTAAACCTACTTTAAATGAACTCAGCTGCTCAGAATTTTAAACAAATGAACGCATTTATTTTCCTCTCCCTTTTCAATTTAAAATCAGGTTCTGCTTAGTATGGCAGGATAGAGCCCCAAGCCATCAGAGAAAGACATGACATTGCCGACTCATCCTTCTAAAATGGAGCTCCTTGCCCTAGACAGTCAAACCAAGACAGAGGAGTGAGGGGGTAAAATTCCTCCATCTCCTACCTTGAGGAGAATGACCCAGTGTCAGAGAATGAAACAGTACAGCCCTTTGGGGCTGGAAGTTTGCCTCGGACCACATGGAGTACAGCTGTGGTTCATGCCCCTGAAGATTCCAAGGTGGGAGTGTGTTATAGGAGAACAAATGTGGTCCTTAGCTGCACAAAGACATGGGTCCACAACCTATAAATCCTGGCTCTGCCTCTCAGTAGCAGTGTGATTGCATTTATGTGTTAACTATGAGTATAATATCTAAAACCTCACAACAGCCCAACAAGATGAAATACTTATTGCCATTTTACAGATGTGAAAACTGAGATTCAGAAGTTAAATAAATCATGCAAGACCTCAGGACAGCTCCAAGACTATTGCCCTTTCTATTGTACCATATTGCGTACCCTCCCTTGCCGCCTTAATTTCACATAACCTCCCTGAGCTATATCTCTACTCTCCTTTACTTTATTTTTTTTTTATTTAAAAAAATTTTTTTTTCAACGTTTATTTATTTTTGGGACAGAGAGAGACAGAGCATGAACGGGGGAGGGTCAGAGAGAGAGGGAGACACAGAATCGGAAACAGGCTCCAGGCTCTGAGCCATCAGCCCAGAGCCCGACGCGGGGCTCGAACTCACGGACCGCGAGATCGTGACCTGGCTGAAGTCGGACGCTTAACCGACTGCAGCCACCCAGGCGCCCCCTCCTTTACTTTATTTGCCTAAACAAATTGAACAGGGAATTTGAATTCCCTGAACATGACATGGCAGAATTACAGGTAAAATCCAACAACACTGATCAGAGGCAAAAAATTTGCTTTGCAGGAAAAAAACAAAACAAAACAAAAAAACCACCAGAACCCAAAAAGCAGAAAAACAGCCAGAATAACCAAGGGCTGAATTAGGGTGGATCATTCACCCAACATCTTATTCTCAGGTCTTCTTTATCAATAACTGATGACTTAATCATGATAATCCAGAGAAATATTCTCCATAAAAATATCATGAAAAAAAAAATCATGGACTTTTACTTGGTGCCCTGAGAATTTGTGTTTCAACTGGGTAGCTATGTAAACATGAGTGAGTTACTTGATCTTTCTGAGTCTCATTTTCCTTATCTGTATGAAAGAATATTATCTAGCTCATGGAGTTGTTCTGAGAACGAAATAAGTATGTGGAAAGCACCTAGAAGCACATGATATGTGCCACATCCATGTTTTGGTTTTATGTTCACCAGTGTGGACCCCATTATCTTCTGTGGAATTCTGACTGAAGCACCTCAGCCTCAGATGCCTAGTTAAAATAGATGATGGGGCGCCTGGGTGGCTCAGTCAGTTAAGTGTCCGATATCTGCTCAGGTCATGATCTCATGGTTCATGAGTTTGAGTCCCGTATCTAGGCTGTCAGTGCAGAGCCTTCTTGGGATTCTCTCTCTCCCTCTCTTTCTTCCCCTTCCTCACTCTCTCTCTCTGTCTCTGTCTCTCTCTCAAAATAAATAAACTTAAAAAATAGATAAATAAAATAGTTGATAGATAACCATTTCATTTTCTGTGTCCTGGTATTCATAAGGTATAGGTATATAGGATGCAGTTCCCTGGTGTCCTAAAATCAGGGATTCTGACCTTTGTTTGGCCTTGGCCTTTGGCTCTTTGGCCATGTCCAATCAGCCATGGACACAACTCTACTCAGAACACCCTGCTGGCAACTGGGATCAACACACAGTCTCACATGGGCCCTGGACCACAGCTCAGAATGTTGCCCCAGTTCATGGTGCCCTCATAGGGCATGGAACCACTCTGAACCTCATGGACCCTTCTAGATCTTCTCACCAAATCTTTCCTCACATGCCACATCCCTCTATCTTGTGTTAAATTAAACAAGAAATCTATTAAAGCAAGGTGGTTCTAATGCCTTAACATCCTGTATAAGCAAACCAAAACCTAAGCCTGTAAGCATCTCAAGATTAAGAAATCAAAGTCTAAGGACAACCAAACAGCCAATTAGGCTTTCCCAAATACAGAAACCACTTAAGCTATAGCCAATTAAACAATACGCTTGATATGCTCCTGTCTCTTCTCTATGAAAGTCTTTTCTTGAGATCCTGTCCGTGGAGTACTCCTAACTACTTCTGTTCTGGTGGTGCTGAATTAGAATCAGGTTCTGATAAAACTCTCAAATTTATTAGTATGCCTCAGTTTATCTTTTGACACTTCTCAGACTCTCATCACTGAAATTTTGCTTCAAGGAAGAGCACACCACTGCAAACCTGTTAAGTTTCCCAAACCTGGCCACGTGTTACTTGGTGAGTTTGTTGAAGATATAGATTCCCAAGCCTGGTCCTAGACATACTGAATGAGAATCTCCAGGGGTGATATCTGGGAATCTTTATTAAGCAATGAGTTCTCCCAGTGATGTGGATGGCTCCTGTTCATATACTGGTGTTTAAGAACAAAAGTAAGAGGCACCTGGGTGGCTCAGTTGGTTGGGCATCTTTTTTTTTTTTTTAAGGTTTATTCATTTTTGAGAGAGAGGGAGAGACAGAGCACGAGTGGCGGAGGGGCAGAGAGAGAGGGAGACACAGAATTGGAGGTAGGCTCCAGGCTTTGAGCTGTCAGCACAGAGCCCAATGCAGGGCTCGAACTCACGAACCATGAGATCGTGACCTGAGCAGAAGTTGGATGCTTAACTGACTGAGCCACCCAGGTGCCCCATGGGCGTCTGACTCTTGATTTCAGCCCAGGTCATGGTCTCAAGGTTCGTGGGTTTGAGTACCTCATGGAGCCGCACATCGGGTTCTGTGCTGACAGTGTGGAGCCTACTTGGGATTCTCTTTCTCTCTCTCTCTCTCTCTCTCTCTGCCCCTCTGCTGCATGCTTTCTCTCTCTCTCTCAAAGTAAATAAAACTTTTTAAAAATAACAAAAGGGAATTGTTATTTTTTAAGAAAAGTGAATTAGGAACACCTGGGTGGCTCAATCAGTCGAGTGTCCAACTCTGGCTCAGATCATGATCTCACAGCTCGTGAGTTTGAGCCCTGTGTTGGGCTCTGTGCTGACATCTCAGAGCCTGGAGCCTGCTTCGGACTCTGTGTCTCCCTCTCTCTCTGCCTCTCCCCTGCTCACGTTCTGTCTGTCTCTCTGTCAAGAATAAATAAGCATTAAAAATTTTTTTTTAAAAAAAGAACAAAAGTGAATTAAACTCAGTTCTCCTCTCTGGTGCTCTTTGATGCAGCAAACTCCATTTTTTGAGACCTGTGTCTTGCCTCCTTTTCAAGAGCAGATGCCCTGGGGAGTATCTCTTATCAGTGTCACATTATGTATCTCCCATCAGTCTTACATGGAAAGGGAAAGGAGGCATAGAAAAAAAAAAGTTCCTTCCCCACTCCCCCCCCCCCCCCAGCTTACCTCAAGCCTTAACTCTATGCCCCACTTCCCTTTGGGCAGAGTTTTACGGTTGTACCTAACTACAGACATTCTTGGCTCCATGGCTATGCTTTTGGGGAGTAGCACTATGGTCATGTGTGTTATG